CCTCCCCAAACCAAAAAAAAAACTCACTAGTGCCACGAAATTTTTTTTATCGTAGATCTTTCCAAAATATCTCCTATTAATATCAACTTAGCTTTCGAATGATCTGCTCATCCCTCACTATGCTGCATGCCAGTCTACACATAACCTATCAGAAGATTATAAACTTTTAATAGAGTGCCCCGGGATATATATTCCACAAACATAATATCATGTGTTACATGCTGCTTAGCAGTGGAAAGTTTAATTATAACACATGCATAGATGAATAGTGGCCCTATGCCATGCCCACCCCCAACCCCCAAATCAAACTGTAAGCTGCGCCTCGGATCTAGCTTAACTGAGGACAATTCTAACTAATTTTTATTCACACTTAATAGAGATAGAATAAAACCTCCTGCTTCAGCATCTGAGCTGCACTTATTTCATAAGAGACCTGTGCATCTGCATGAGCCTTCATAGCTGCAATCTCTTCAGGCTTCGCTTTAGCCACTTGCTCACCAATTTCTACCATATCCTCGGTTCTTGTGTGTTTTAGCTGCTCTGCAGCATGCCTCAGATCATCAGGCCTCAGATTCTTCATACTCTCTGATGCTAATCTTACAAGCTCAGGATTGGACATCATCTGTAAGATAATCCACAAACAAATATTTTAAGTCAGGTTATTCTGGCAAAAGTAAAGGTTACAGTCAGAAATAGATTTTGTTATTAGTAAGTAGTTATGTTGGTATCATGTAAAGTAACATGCAGTATGACAATGATCAACCTAGTATGCAATCGGTCACCTATGTAGCAGCTCTATTTCTTGAAGGATGCCAAAAACAAGTACAAACAAAGTAAGGACGATGGTGGAAAATACCGTAATCAGATGAATTCATGTAACACAAGAAAATTTAACTCAAGCGTATTAGTGCAAGATAAATGAAAGACTCGGGTAAGTGTTACATACGTTCTAACAGGGGATTGCTGGTAAGTTCACTAGGTCTTTCTTTGTGTGTATGTGCATGGGCGGGCATGTGTTCGGTTGGCGTAATTTGATTTGGTTTTTGGTGCTTTGGGTATCCATTAACTTCCTAAGTGGTAACTAGGTATTGAAAGTGGTAGTTCAGGGGGTAAGGTGGGTCAGAAAATAGTTCAGTTCACCGAGTAACCATGGACGAAATTAACAGTTTGGGGGCATGTAGAATCTGATGAAAAGCCATTTACATCTATTAGCATTGCTTTGATTACAAAAGCAGCAAAATTCTGCGGATGCATTAAAACAGAAGAGTTGAAACATAAGCAACGCTTTCGAATATAAGATGCTATTCTGCAAACTAATATGGATATTGTTTTAAGTTAAACCTGAATCCAATAATAGAGTATTACAGAAATAAAAGAATGATGGACAACTTATAATTTATAATAGGACTATCAAAGAGCCCTACACAAGCATAAACTCTTTCGCCTTGA